AAGTAAAAGCACTGAAGATGGGAATGACTGACAAATCTATCGTTTTGAATGACAATGAATGGGAACTATTACTCACAATTATAGAATAGGATGCTCAAGATTACCTCGATTACTATGCCTTCAATGATTTCATAAACTTGGGATTAGCCAAATATAAAGAGAGCAGGAAGGTCTTGGTGCTCAATACAAATTAGGAAATTGATAGAATTGTTAAGAGTTTTACTCAATATCTGGAGAAGGAAGTGTGCACTCTCCTTGCAATGTATAGGTAGACTGATAAGGATAAAAATAACTTTATATCATTTGAGGAATTTACTGCCTTACTCTTGAAGACTATTGGTTACAGTACTACTGTGGATAATTAAAAATAACTATTTGATATATTTGACATGGATAAAGATGGTAAAATTAATTTCACAGAGTTTGAATATTAAATATATAAAAGAAACGAAATCACTGCTAAATAAATTCAAGAAATGAAATTAGTGATGTTAAATGGCCGCAATCCATAAATGGAATAATAATTATCTGATTTATTCCTAATCATTTCGCAAGGATCTTAATTTATCGAATTTAAACAATTTGCTAATTATATTAATTATTATTAGAAATACTCAATGTTTGAATTAGATTAATTTTTTAGATATTTTGATTAAGAATATTCAGAAAAATTAGATTAATTTAGATTTATCTTAGGTTTTAAATAGTAATAACGATAATAATCTATACAATCATAATCATAACCATAAGCGTAGATTCCTCAATAATAACCATATCAGTAAAGTGTTTAACCTTAACCTTCTTAATTTTAATAACCTCCTCAATTTTAATAGCCTCAATATTTATAATAATAATAATAAAATGGTTAATAAATGCAATATGGATAGTAATAACAATACCCTGGATAATAGTAATAGTAGCAACAATACCCTGGATAACAGTAGTAATTTCCTGGATAATAACAACAATATCCAGGATAATAGCCTTAATTTCCTGGATAATAACCTTAATATAATGCTTAATAGTCTTAATATAATGGCTAATAGATACCTTAATATAATAATTAGTTACCATAATAATAATAATATCAATAATATAATCCATAATACAACCAATAAGATGCTTCATTTAATGCATCTATACCTAATAGTTCTATTGCCTATCCTCCTTAAAATACAATGTATAATAAACAATTTCCATAAGAATTTGAGAAAAAGCAAGAATGGGTTCAGAATGCCAAATTTGATTAAAGCTGGGTATCTCAAGGATAAGATCAATATTCCTAAAAATATGATCCCAATTAAGCCAGAGCTGCCAAACCTCAACCTTAATAATCATAAATTCCTATTGAATTTGATCTAACTTTCTATGATTAAGAAATACAAAAAAAATGCATCTAAAAAAACATTGATCTCTTTGATTTGTTGTGTCAATATGATGAAACATCACTTCCAGAATTAAAAATATCAAAGCCTGATCAATTAGAATTGGCATTTTAGTTTTTAGAAATACTAGCACCAACACCGCATGTCTAATAATATTACTACTATTATTCATAAGGGTAAAATCAAATGGGTATAGTTTTACCATATTTAAAGATGAATAATCCTGGTAAACTTTTAGCCAAAGCGCTTAACTTCACTATGATCAAACATAAACAATACACAAAACAATAACTTTGGGGTCTAATTGGTGAGAATCAACCCACTTGGCAAATGAAGTAATTGGATAAGATCAATAGCAATTTAAAAATTGGTTTGAATGAAAGAGAATTGAGTGAAGCATTTTAGTATTGGGATACTGAACAAAAGGGTTTGATAACCTTTAAGATTTACGAAGAAATTCTAAATTTGAATTAAATTGTTATACCATAAAAATAGGAAACTCAGTCTAAAGATCCTGCTTTATAATCAATATTAGATTCCTTTTTATTGCATCTATCAGAAGCAGTTTTGGCTAAAAATTGCTTCAATCTTTTTGAGCAATTAGATAAAAGAGGATACAATCAAATCCCCTTTAATGATTTTTTGAGTGTAAGCAAGAAATTAATAGGATCTATATCAGCAGATGAAATCAAGTCAATTAAATAATTATTGTAATAGAATGGCTTCATAAATTTGAGCGATTTAGCCAAACTGTTAAATGTGGATCGAACAAAAATTAATTAATATAGCTAAGAGGATGAGAAATAACAATTTGGTTTGGCATAAAAGGATTAGCGTAAATCTATATTGAATGCTCAAAACAAAGAAAAGTTCACTAAGATGCTCCCTATAATAAATGAATTTTTGAAAAAGAGAAGTAAAACATATGATGACTTTGCACTCTATTTCTTCCCTCCAAATTCAAATAGCACAATAGATAGAGTTTAATTTACTAAAAAAGCATTAGATGCTTAATTTGGATTGTCTGCTACTCAATGCGAAGAATTGTATGATTACCTAGATGCTAATTCTAGTGGACATATTTCAATTAATGAATTTAGATTAGTGTTTCAATCAAAATAAACAGAATAATAAATAAAAAAATAAGCAGACAATATTGTCTAAAGTTAGGATATAGAATAAGAAATATTGGATTTATTTAACCAAATTGATGAAAACAAAAATTAATAACTAGACTAAAGGGAATTGCTAAAGGCTCTTCAATCTGTGGGTTTAAATCCTGGAACTGAAGAGTTATCTTAGTATTTTGCTCAATTTGATCGAGATAGAAGTGGAACAATATCATACTAGGAGTTCTCACATATAGTTAAAGATATCTTAAAAAAAGAACTTCTACAAGCTGATGACTTATTAGAAGATTTGAGAAGAGAATTCAGATAAGTCTGTAATCCAACTACAAGAATGTTATCTAAAGAGCAAGTGAGCTAAGTATTCTAGAATATGGGAGTACTTATTAAAAATGAAGAACTAACTGATTTATTCGTTGAAATAGATGAGGATAAATCTGGATCTATTGATATAGATGAATTTATTTATTTCATACAAAAAAACTAATCAGGAATGTCAGCTAAAGCTTCAGCTGCAGTAATGAATATCAAGGGTAGCAGAAGAATCTCATTACATGATTTGAAAGAGATTTTCTTATAATTACCTTAAAACTTTATTATGAGTTTTGTTAGGGGATAAAATAAGAAACTGCAAAATCTTCCATCCTTATAACTAAAACCAGTTCTTGATAATTGTGGATTTTTTTATTAAGGTCTAAATTACGTTGAAGCATCAAATTTCAATATTAAACAAAGCATTCTAGATAAAGTTAATATCAAAAATAACTTCTTAGCAGAAATTAGACTGATTGAAGCAACAGGAATACCTATTCCAGATGAAAAGGATGTGCCCAGGAATTCATTTTTGAGAAGAGAAATAGGCATCATCTTAATTGATAAAGCAATTAATAAGTATGAAGGTAATGCTGTTTATATTCCTGCTGCATGGAATCCAGAATATGAAGATAGATGGGTTTTTGAATAACCAGCTATGGAGTAGGCCATCTTAATGAGGTGGGGTAATTTTGATGAAAAGCTGGATAACTTAAAAGAGATGGTTTTTGAATTTATCACTTATTCAGTTAATAAGGGAAGACTGATATAGATCTCATGTGCATATGGTTCTATTCCTGTCTATCAATTAAAGCCAGGCAAACAAATTCTTGAGTTGAAAGGTGGGGCTCCATTAAAAGATATTACTATTGATAAAAAAGATATTAGAACAAATCGAAATGGATGGAGATCAGTTGTAAAAGCACTTTCTTCTAATATAAAATCTTAATTAATTTTGGAAGTCACAAAATTACCTCCGTAGATGGTTCAAAAAATGTCAGCACTACCAAATAAATGCATGCTCAATAAATGGGCTTTAGGCATGTAATCAGCTTTTCGAGAATACTTTGCCTATAGAACATAAATGAAGGGAGAAATTGAATTAAATTTAGCAAGTGACATCCGTATTAGAGCATGGCTACATTGTTTTGATTGTCCTGATACTACCAGACCTATTGCATAATTTTGGAATGAATTTATAGAGTAAATTACAATAATATCCATAGGCCAAAAGTTGGTAATGATTACCAATTTTTATTAAAATCAATCTCCAAAATAGCTGATTCATTATATTTGATGTTCAAAAATACAGAGTTTAAGTTTTCTATTGGAGATCCGACGGCAAGAATAGATCATGATAGTGTTCTATTTAAGCGAAGATAATAATTAGTTGCAGAGGCAATAGGTGATATGAAAGTTAATCTTGGGATTGTTATTCAATAGCAGTAAGAAACAAACTATTATTTTTAGAAAAAAAGCTTAGATTATTACAAGTTTAGAACCATTAAATGTAGAAGAAATGATGGATCTAGATAATGAATCTGATATTTAAGCTTTAGAAAAATTTTTTAGCAAAAAGAGGACCAAGAAACAATAATGACAATATTTCCATATGATTATTACAAACTTTATATATTTTATCAAAATACAATTTTGAAGAAATCTTTAGAAAATAAATGAATGATTTCTTAGATATAGTATTTGAATTTATTCTTTATTTCGGTAACAAAATTTAACATATGATGCTTTAATTAAGAATTATTTCATATAACATACATTTGAATTGATTATTTGAGTTAATCTTTTTAGCAATAATATATATTTACAAAATCATTAACCTGACTTCTGAGTTTTCACAGAATACACTTTACAATAGTAAATAAATCAATAGGAAGGAAGCAGCTATTTTGTCTAATGAATTATCCTTTATTTCTAAGCCTCAGAGAAAATATTAGTTAATCTATTCAATATCGAGGAATGACAATATTAAGATTTATTAAGAAGAAGGGAATAACATATCAAAATAGAGGGAAAGGATTTAAATAATTTTAAGGAAAGTTAAAAATAATCATTATTCACTCCTTTTAATTGAGCAGAATTTATAGCTGTTATTATAATATGTTATTATAAAATATATACAAAAACATATCCCAATCTGAATTTTAATATTTAAATTATGAAAATTATTATTAAAACATTAAGCGGATAAAACTTTCCTTTGGATGTGGAAGGATCAGATACAGTATATAATTAATCAAAATATTTTAGATTTCTGATGTGAAAGAAAAGATCTTTTAAGTGAAACAATTTGAAGTTAGTCAACAAAAATTATTAAGAAAAGGTACACTCTTAGATGATAAAACCACTATTGCAGAATTGGGAATATAAGAAAACGAATTTTTAGTAGTCATGGTTAATGCCAAAGTAATTAAATTTATTTAAAATATTCATAGAAATCAGCACCTCAGTAGCCATAACCAGTCTAACAACCACCTGCCTAATAGCCAGTTCAATAACAGCCAGCTTAATAACCTGCTTAATAATTACCCCCACAATAATAGCCTCAACCTTAAGTAGCTCCAGTTGTTAAACCAGCAGCATCTGGAACAGGATTGCTATCCGGTCCAGAGTATGACAAAGCTATCGAGTAGTTAATGTCTATGGGATTCCAAAGAGAGGAATGCGTAAATGCTATGAAGGCAGCATTCAATAACCCTGATAGAGCTGTTGAATACTTATTAAATGTATTCTAAATTCTATAATTAGGGCATACCTCCTGGTGCTACATCACATCCTCCTGCTCCAGTTGCTAGCGGACAAGGATAACCACCTGCTGCACAATCGCAAGTTGGTTAGCCAAATTAACTCTAAGAACTAAGATAGTTATACTAATAGAATCCATAAGCCGTTCTCTAATTATTACCTTAATTGATGCTATAAATTTAATAGACAAATCCATAGTTATACGCTTAAGTTTCATAAAACCCTGAAATGTTATTACAAATGCTTATGGGTGCAGGATAATAGGGACCTCCTCCAGGATCTATCCAATTGACTTAATAAGAATTTAAAGATGTTGAAACTGTACTTGTATTGATTCTATTTTAGATTATGTAACTCGGTTTTACTAAATAAGACTCTTTGGAAGGTTATATAGCATGTGATAAAAATGTGGAATTTGCAATTAACTACTTATTTGAGAAGCAAGCAAATGGAGATCTTTTTAGTAAGTTCTTTCACTAAATTTAGGCTAACATGTTCAAAGAGAACAAGCTAATCCCCCTAATCAATAACCACCTGGCGGAAATGATGGACCATTGGATGAAGAAGATGACGATGATGTTTATTAATGATATATTATTATTCATAATATTAATTTCAATATATCCAATGAATTATATATTAAGTCACTCTTCTGTTAAACATATCCACTTTAGAAGGAGGACCAAATTAAAAATGAACACATCTCACATCCAAATAGCTTTTATTGACAAATCGATATAAATTTATCTATTATAACATTAAAGAATATTCAGATACTACATAAAGGAGTATCTTTTCAACAGATATTTATATGGCATCAATTTATAATTTTAACTTTTCTATTCAAATATTTGTTTGAAAGGACTTTTGAGTGGTTCGCAGAATTTCTTATTCTTAACTTCAAATTTCCTTTTTTGCAATATCTTCAAATTCAATTTCTGGGTTTGGTTTGAATATTGAAAAGTTTTTGAAATATTTAAGTTAATTTAAAGGAGAGAACTTCTTAAAAGTAAATAGGATATTTTTTTACATTTATTAATGATAGCCAAGATCTATAACCTTACTTAATTTTATAGTTTTGGAACAATGAAGATAAAAACTTGAAATTAAAGGGTATGATTTTTATTCTTAGTTAACACATTCAGTTAATAATTTAACTCTTTAATCATAGCGTTTACTTAGAATTGATACTACTATCAACAATAAATATAAAATAATAATATTAAGTATTTATTTTAAATTCCTAATTATATTTCAATATAAAATTATATCTGTTGAAAGTTTTGATGCATCCAATTTGCACACTTTTTTCTAAGGTAATAAACTTTCAATTTATAAATTATAACAACTGTTTAACTACTTCTATAGGGTAAGGTTTCTATTCTTAAACTAAAATTAGTATGTAAATTTCTAGATTAATCTCAAACCAATTGGTAAAGTAAACATCTTAAAATTAACAAATTTATTCACTTAATTGTAATAATTCTAACTTGATGCAATCAAAGTTACTAACTTATTTTATTTAATATAAATAATTAATTGAGTATCAAACTTTTTTCTGTATTTTAAATAGACAAGTAGCTTTAATAATATAAACTGAAATAGCTTTAAATGATGTTTATGACTTTAGAATATATTAGTTCTGATAGAGAAATATAATATAAGAATACTGATTTTGATAATTGATATTCTTTGTCTAATAATTGGTACACATCAAGTGCAAAGATTCATGAACTCTATCTATTAGGATAAATAGTTATTTTAATTTTGTTGTGCTTTTTCGGTTTGAGTTTTAAGCCAGAAACTGAAGTTAGGTTTGAAATTTAAATTCTGTCTTTTATCTTATCATCAAATACAATATACCTTATGGAGAACAGAAAAAAATGTTTATATTTAACCTTTAAAAAGGGACAGGGATTGAAATATTTCAGATGGATGGAAGATCTTAAGAGAGAGTAGTGAAGAAATTTCAATAACAGTTTAAAGTTGTAGGATTTATCAATAGGGGAACAAATTTTTGAATATCCATGATCATCGATGAATTTATTGTTCATTAAGGCAAAACATGTTCTTATTACAAATAAAGTTGGATTTATTTTTTGAGATTAATAAGGATTAATATTACATAACTTGATTCACCCTTTGCTGATTTGTAATCATTACTTTTTTACTAATTTTTTTTTTGCTGTATTTATAAGAAATTTCTCAGATAATCCTATTTGATTCTTGATATTATGCCATCCATAAAGCTATGATATCAAGTAACTTTAGGAATATAAATAAAAAATCTACGAGAATACTGCAAAGGTTAACTGCTTCAATATCAAGATATTCAGAATTTCATCATCTGAAGTATATTTATTCATCCTAAAGCATCTGCAAAATAGACCTTTAGTATTTCAATTTTATTCTGAATGATAAATAAAATCAACATTAATAAAGTTGAATATTTTAGATATGTTATATTTTTCAAGTATGCTGCATTTATATTGACTGTCTGGCTGTTAAATTGTTTTCTTTTAGAAGGTTAAATAGCCACCAAGAGTATCGAATTCTCCATAATGAATATCCATCAACGTATATTAGATACATAAATGATCGTGCATATTGTAAAATTAACACATCTCAAAAGCCAAGAATTATACTTCAATAGTTTAGAAAGTATTGGTTTTAATCAGTCCCGTCATTATATCCTTATCCCAATATATTTGAGAAAATTAAGTATGCATGAGTATAATTAAATTGAAAAATAAATCAATAACCTATTCTGATATCAAAACTAAATTGCCAACTGAGATTTCAGGTCGAAAAGGTAGTTTTTGTCATTAAAATTCACTGGTTTATGAAAAACGAAATTTTTATGATTAGTACAGAAAAATAATTTATTTCTATTTTAAGATAATAATTTAAAATTAAAGCTAGCAATGTAATATTGTAAGAATGGCTTCAAAGACAAGATAAGTAGAAAAATATAAATAAATTAAGATTTCATTCGAAATTTTTGTTAAATTATAAAGTTTAATACTAACTAAAGGTTCATTCAACAATAAAACAAACAATTATTGACAGAGGAAGTTAACTTTCTTAAAATTGATGATGATGATGCTAAATTGAAAAATAATATTGGAATTGGAGATTAGGAAATGGTTGAAGTAAATAAAAATAATATAAAAGTTTGGAAAAAGAGAAAAAATAAACTATTTAAGTTGGTAGTAAAAAAAAGTCTCAGCAATCAGATTAAAGAAAATGAACAAATTAGGGGAAGCTAATTAATAAAACCCTGAAAGTTCCGAGTAGTATTTTAAAAAAGGTATCTTAAATCCACATAATATCTATATTTAGCTTATGCTTTAGAAGAAATGAATAGATTTGAAGAAGCATTGAAATATTATGATTTAGCTATTAAGATGAATCCTCATAAATCAAAATATTATGAGAATAAAGGTATATTGTAATTCTCATCAAAACTAAGCTGATACTTTAAAAAAAATGAATAGATTAGAAGAAGCATTGGAACATTATGATTTAGCAATTCAAATAGATCCTGAAATTGCTAGGCATCATAATAAAAAAGGTATTTTTAATACGAATAATAAAAAGCTTTTACATTAAAAATGATGAATAGATTTGAGGAAGCATTAAAATATTATGATATAGCAATTTTTTTAGATCCTTAGACTTCAGGATATGAAGATAATAAAGGTATAATTAAATCAGATTAATAACAAGCTTTTACATTAAAATTGATGAATAGATTTGAGGATGCATTAAAACATTATGATTTAGCTATTCAAAAAGATCCTCTCAATTCAAAATATTATAATAATAAAGGTATAATTTATTTCACATTAATTTTAGCTGATGTTTTAAATATATTAAAAAGATTTCAAGAAGCATTGTATTATTAGGATACGGCTATTTAGATAAATCCTGAAAATCATGGCTATTATTATAATAAAGGTTAATTATATCTTGAGTAATCTCCTAGCGATGACATTAAATAAATTGAATAGATTAGAAGAAGCATTAGAATATGTTGATAAAGCAATTTAGATAAACTCTGAAATTCCTCTCTATTATCAGGGTAAAGGTATAATTGAATCATAATAATATTAAAGCTGTTAGTCTAGATCAAATGAAAAGATTTAAAGAAGCATTAATTATTTTTGATTTATGTATTTAAAAACAACCAGAGGATTCAGATAATTATTTTTACAAAGGTATAATTTATTGTACCTAATATGCAAGCTAAAACTTTAATGCATTTGAATAGAATTGAGGAAGCATTGTAATATTTTGATACAGCGATTTTGAAAAATCCTGAAAATTCAAACTATCATAATAACAAAGGTATAATTTATTTCAGTAAAAACTCAGCAAATGCTTTATTTAAGATGAATAAATTTATGGAAGCATTAAAATTTTATGATTTAGCTATTTATCACAGCCCTGATGACTCTTCATATTATAATAATAAAGGTAGAGTTTCTTTCCCTTAAAATCTTAGCTTGTGCCTTATGTTTAATGAATAACTTTTCAGAAGCATTATAATATTATGATTTAGCGATTTTGAAAAATCCTGAAGATTCAGATTATTATCATAACAAAGGTTCAATTAAGCCATTATAATATCTTAGCGATGGCCTTAGATAAAATGAATAGGCAAGAAGAAGCCTTAGAATAATTTAATTTAGCTATTTTGAAAAATCCCGAAAATGCACTTTACTACAATAACAAAGGTATAATTTAATACAAATAATTTAGCCATTACGTTAAAAAACTTGAATAGATTTGAAGAAGCATTGGAATTATATGATTTAGCTATTTAGAAAAATCCGGAAAACCACATTCTTTATTATAACAAAGGTATAACTTAATCGACATAAATTCTAAGCGACTTCTTTAACTAAATTAAACAGATTAAACGAAGCTTTAGAATTTTATGACTTAGCTATTTAGATAGACCCTTACATTTCTGTATATTATTCAAACAAAGGTATAATTCAATAATATTTAAGCTAATACATTAGAGAGATTAAATAAATTTGAAGAAGCTTTAGAATAATATGACTTAGCTATTTAAACAAACCCTGAAAATTTCATGAACTATTATAAAAAAGGTACTGTTAAATCTATATATCTCAGCAACCATTTTAGATAAATTGAAAAGATTTGTGGAAGCATTGGAATATTTTGATTCAGCTATTTAGAAAAACCCGGGAGATTCCAATCTTTATAACAACAAAGGTAAATATTAAGCACATAATATCTAAGGCACTACTTTATTTAAACTAAATTAGTTTGAAGAAGCATTGAATTTGTTTGATTTAGCTATTTGGAAAAATCCTAAAGATAACAACAATTATCCCAGTAAAGGTATAATTAAAACTGAATATCTCAGCATTGTGTTTATTTAAATTGAATAGATTGGAGGAAGCATTGGAATAATATGACTTAATTATTTAGAAAAACCCTGAAAATTCTGAGTATTATCGGCTCAAAGGTTTTTAATATCCGCATAATATCTTAGGCAATACTTTATTTAAATTAAATCGGTTTTAGGAAGCATTGAAATATTATGATTTAGCTATTTAGAAAAATCCTACAAATCAAGTCTGTTATACTAATAAAGGTATAATGTAATTCTTATAACATCAAAGCTGATGCTTTAAAAATAATGAGTAAATTAAAAGAATCTGGGAAATCTTAAAATATTGCATCTCAACAATAGCCAAACTAAGGGTTTGGTGAGACTAACTACAATTCTATCTATAAGACATCATCCTTAATTTGAATTATATTTACATAAAGAATTCAATAAATTATTAAAGATTGGTTAGTTTTAAAGGTTACTATATTGAGCTTTGAGAGCATTTTGCGACTTATTCAATTGCTACCTTTCTATGCTAGACCAATATCAACTAACAGAGATAAATAATAGGAATAAAGTAATATCTTAGAAGAAGAGGAAGAAGAAAATGAGATTTCTAATAATTGGAACAATAAAGGATACTCAAGAACACCAATAAATAATTGAAGAGATAATATGAGATTCGAAATTGGCAAATTCACAAGCTGAAAATTAACCAGCAACATGTTATTGTCATCAAGAGGAAGAGTGAAGCAAAGGTTGAGTTGAAAAATATTGAAAAAAATTTCGAAAGTCTTAAAGATGACAATAGACAAGAAAATTCCCAAGGATTGTGATTAAAGACTAGATTTGATATCATTAATAATATTTGATAAGGGGTTAGAATAAATTGTGTCTAATTATGGGTTTGGGAATTTTATAAACTAACTTTGAACCTCACCTAGGAATATGCAAGAATTGTAAAAGAAAATGAAATTTAATATAGTGTGAGAATTGGAATTGATGAATACAGTAAAGAGAGAAATGATTAAGGACTAAA